GGAGGAAGGAAGGAAGGAAGGAAGGAAGGAAGGAATTTAAGGAACGACGCCTGACCTTGTGGCATGTCGTCGCAGTCGGTGTCCCTACAGACGGCGCACAGTGTTCCGCAGACCTGCCTACCGACGGTCCGGGTACAGAGGGCCTCGCCTCCGCTGCACAGGCGGCAGTACGGACAGGCTGCCCGCCGGAACCCCGCCTGCACGGCCGCCTGCAGCGCCTGGTCCGTGGCGGCGGCACACAGGGACAGAGCACACAGCAGAACTGTCCCGAGTACAACAGACCTCATCTCGAAATGTGGAACCTTTTAACTGGAAAATAGGCAAGGGGGAAGCACTCAGTGAAAGCCAAGTCATAGCGGCAATATAACTACTGCCTGATCAACTATAATTAATAAGTTTATTGCAAATACATGCTAATTGCAGGTACAAACAACATGTACTAGTATGTAAAAAGGAAATGCAATGATATATCTGAATCTATCTGTATCTGTATCAGTATAGCCGGTATATCCGCTCTTCGGCGTAACACATCAACTTATTAGCAGGCACACGGCGCGGCGGTAGCTATATATATATATATATATATTGAACCGAACGACCTGTTAGACCCAATCTTTGCACATTTAAGCGCAAGATTTGTTTAAAGCTTTCTATATCTAGTGATGATGCCCCAACTGTGTTTGTGGCCATATTAGATATTTCTTGAAAAAATACAAGTTTTTGAATTGAACACCTTAATTCTTGCTTGATAACTCTGATATTTGAATTCATGACTGTTTGTTGTTCTTTTCTGTCAACAGTTTGAAATAATCTGTTACAGTCTCTTGGCAAATACACATGACAGATGCAATATATTTCATTCCCACTGCATTCATTTGGTGAAGATTACAAATAAGTCTTTCGTGTGTGTTTTTTTCTTTTACATAAAGATAACATTCGACAGCGTGACGCCATCTTAAAGACAGCACAATGTTTACAGACGCCCTAAGCCGGTTATACTGTTGTCTTGGTTGAAGATAAGGTGCCTTCATCAATGAAACCTGTTAAACTCTTATTCTAAGTGACAATTGTTTGAATGGTAGTCCCATTGTTCTTACGTTTTAATATAAATCGTCTTTTCTCGCCACAAATTAACCAAACAGGTGCAAAAGACAATTTCTTATAGTTCCCACATCACAGCGAGCCACAACTTTTAATCTTCCTTCAATACGTTTTCATGCTTGAAAATTATTTAGAGACCTTAGAGAAAAAATGAAGTCCAGTTATACCTAGATCAGTGACGAGTCTAGTTCAATTGCAAGGTTTTTATACGGAGTTGGTTCACATGCGTAGTGCGATCGCAAAACTGAGGTCATTCGTGGGCACGTGTCGTGGGTTACCGTGCATACTCAACACTCACTCTATCCTCTTCTGAACCTTGAGTGCATAGATCGTGCAAAATTCAGTTGTCTTGTTTAGGAAATACTGTCTTAAGCTAGGTCGTTGTCAGTGGATACGTTACGTTGCGACCTCAAAACTAATGCTACGAGGCCGGGCGAATATAAAAGTCCAGCAAAAAAAAAATGAATAAACAGAATGAAGGCAAAGCTGCATGATATTGCGAATTTGCCACTGTACATGACTACTTTTACAACAAGCCGGCACATGCCGGAATTTTGCAGAATGAGTTGGCACCGGTATACCGTATACTGAGTTCAGTGGAGCCTAGGTATTCTGGGTATCGTCCTCTGTAGTTACCGCCGGCTCCCTACTGTATTGTCCGTTAAGCCACAATGAACTACGGAGAAATAATGGTACCCAGGCTTCAGCCTCATCGAAGGGTTTGTTTACTACAGGCGAAAATCAATGCGCGTGGATATCATCCATAAAATCAAATCCGTGTGGCCTAAGGTTAGGATCAGGCACGGTTCTAGTCTCTAGCCTCCTCCGCAGACTTGTAGGGCGGAGGCCGTATTTTTTTTACGGTGAGCGACGCGAGTTATGCCGCAGAGGGACGGACAGTTTTCCGCCAAAGTTTTACCGGGAGGAGAAGGGTTTGTTGGGGGTGAAACCCTCCCCCCTCCCGGGAGTCAAAACGGTCCCTCTGCGGCATAACTGCGTCGCTCACCGAAAAAAATGGCCGGCGGCCTGCGAATGACCCTCCGCGTATCCAAGAACGTCATTTTTCCCAGTGAGACTCACTTCTAGATGCGTGTCCCTGGATAACGATTAAAGCACGATTCTGGATATAACAGTGATATTTCGAAACTTACCGGCTGGACTTGAAAATGAGCCCCTCGGACAGACGGTGTCGATCTGCGGTGACTGTGAGATTCAGACCGTGGTCTCTCTCTTGGCGTGGTCCGGCACACGATGTTCTCGATCCCGCTTGAGTAACTGCCCGCGGGTCGTCTGAATTACCTGTCGCCACAAACACACCTAGTCTGTGTAACGCAAACTCTGCCGTCCGCGGCTTTAGTGGATGTTGGGCGGCCGGTAACCGTAAAGTGATTTAATCAGACTAAAACACACCGTATTTAAAGACCAGCCCCACAAAGGCGCTTATCGTCGGTAAACAGACGTCAAAACCAACTTGCCAAACAGTGGGCGGAGCAACTGTCAATGTACGGACGATGATAAGACGGTAAACGTAGTGAAGCTTAAGACAGACATTACTACAATTGCGTTTGGCCATAGAAAACTAAAACAAGTTCCCATGCAAATACTTTCCCATATTTCAATCTCAAAATTCTTCTGCACCAGATAGCCACATTGGTTTGCCTTTAAATTAATAGAAAGAAAACAAGGTGTTAACCAGCTCAAACTCTGCTGACAACAGTGAACAAACCCTACTTTTAAACTATATTCCTTACTAGTATCTATCCGCTCTGGGCAGGCAAGACGTCATCACTCTCATTATGTCCACTAAACTGGTGAAATAAAATTTGGCCAAAGTTGTAGAATTTTCTAATTGTAGACCAAAATCTCCAAATTTTTAAAGACAAAAAAGGATTTTCAAAGATATTAACTGGGAACCACAATCGTGGGCCCATTTTGGATCTTCTACAACGCAACGCAATAGCGACTTCTGTCATTATGATGAAAGAGGGCCTTTGTAATTTATTGCACATCTTTGCCACACAGGTCACAACAAAAACTGGTCCAAGGTGCACCGTACTATGATGAACATATCGTCAACTGACTTCAGTTTTTAAAAAGGAATGAATACCAGAAAGGTAACATTTGCAAAGCAAATGCATAATGTTTACCTTCGCTTAATCTGCTTTGTTAACTCTTACTCAAACACATTCGTATATATGGACAAGAGTCTAAATCCCTCCTGCTATAGAATTACAACATGATATAACCCAACACTAGTTATCATAGTAATTGACTTTCTGGCCCAGGTCATTGACCTTTTGTGTTTGGAGAAGAGGAAACTGAGCCAAAACAATTTGTTTTCCTTCGATAAACATAATAGTGCAATAACAGCAGGTTGTTGTTTAATTATTTGTTGGTCTTCTGCTGACCTATGCCCTGGACACACAATCAGTGTTATTCAGTACTCAACAACAATAACGTTCTGTGGGTTTCTCAGAAGGGATAAAAAAGAGCGACTCTTTCTTAGCTTCTTGTTATTGGCGTGATCCTAGAATTGGGGGTGCTTCCAAGAAGTGGTTTTGAAATGTTTTCAACCGGTCGGGTTTAGGCCTAGGGCACAGACATATCTCCGCTGTGTGTGTTGCCTTCGAAATGTTCAGTTGATGTCCATTCTGGGTATAGCCACTCCCTGATACCATGTCTGAAACGTTTGTTAAACCAATATGGTTACTAGACAGTGTTATATATTCTCTGTCATAGAATCTGATGTAAATTTCAGTAACATAGCTCGTCAGATAATATCGCCCATTCGTCGATCTTCCGTTTACCTTTGATGACTTGAAATATTAACACTCAACCAGTTACATTCTAATACTGTCTTTAATTTGTAACGATGACCTTACAGAGATTTTGCTGTAACTTAAGGTATCATAACAGAGCTGTCTGGAGAGAGAGAGAGAGAGAGAGAGAGAGAGAGAGAGAGAGAGAGAGAGAGAGAGAGAGAGAGTAGACGAGAGAGAGAGAGAGAGAGAGAGGGAGAGTAGCTAGCCTCGGTCGACCGGTGCAGGCTAGTCGCCCGACATGATGATGATGAACATCATCTATAGCTGTGATTACTTAGTTTCTGCTTATAGTATTTTCTCATTAATATGCATACATATCAAGTACGACGAATAAATAGACGGATCATACAATTAACAGTTGCCATCAATGGTCACAACTCAATAGCCTGGTAGGCGGCTGGAAAGTGTAGAAAATAGACAGATGATATGCCAGGGGAGTTGGTTCACGCTGGGAGCGACAAACTGTTCTCTTAGCGTACGAGTGGACCAACTCCCATGGGATATTATCTTTATCTGTTTATTAGCCCAATTCTCCTCTTTCCAGCCGTTTCCCGAAGCCTGGTAGAAGCTTGGCTAACAACTGAATCAGATTCTACCCCAACAAAACTCATCAGAATATGATGTAACAGGTTTTTCTAATTCCATCCTAAAATATCTGATATCCACAATTCACAAACGTTACATAAACGTCCGTCATCTTCTATATCAGGACTTCTCTCAATGAATTGTAAATAACACATGCAGCTTATCTTCATATTGACATGTGGCAGTTTTTGTGTCGTAAATATATGACAATATATTCAAGAAGTGCCTAAACGCCAAAAATTCCACTAATCTTTTATCATGTCACATTCCACTAATCAAAAATTACACCAGTCTTTTATCATGTGAATAAAAGTCTCATAGGGCGTTCGTTGGTACAAGTAGATTACGCGGTACTAATACTTAGTAAAATTGTGGTGCAATACAGTTGATGGCAGAATGCAAAACTTCGTTCCAACACAAAGGATAAACAACGATCAAAGTTTCAACGACCACTGCCGTTACCAGGATAAATAATGATCAAACGCGTCCTGATGAAGGCGACATTGGTCGATAAAAAAATTGATCCTTTGTAGTCTCCACCAGACGCCTTTGCATGCTGCATGAATAGTAGAAATCGGCCTAAAATGACCAGGGCCGGGGATTTAGCCGCGCATATAGGGAGGGTCAAGTTTGAGTTTCCAGTAGACTCCTTTGCAGGCTGAATGAATAGTAGAAATCGGCCTAAAAGGAATGTAGCTGGCCAGGGGAGTTAGCGGGCATATTGGACCCTTCTCTTATGTAGCCGGCTAACTTCCCTGGCCAGCAGTAGTACATGTTTAGGCCGATCACAAAGGGTTAAACCCTTTGTGCTAAAATAAAGATAAGCATCGTACTATGATTACTACCAACACAGATGAACTTGACAATCTTACCGGTCTTGCGCCTGCCTATTTTTGCATTTTCACCTGCCTATGTTTCGCTGTTTTGTCAAGGAGCCGTCATGAATGGATCCCTTTTCTGTTTCGTTATCTCACCCAACCTAATGATCAAGTGAACAGCTTGCTTACTTAGCCCCTCCATTGACCCCATCTCACTGTTTACGATTTTGTTTTGCTTGTTTGTTTGTTTGCCATTTTGTCCGGGCGTCGTTCATCAGTGGCGGCCAGAGTTTTGCAAGTCGGCTAGGTTTGTCCTGTGGGAGAAGAACGGAATTACTATCAACATCGTGTTCGACATTACTGAATTACTGATCCATTATATTGTTATACCACCCTTTACAGGATGACATATCCTTCTATTAGCTTAATACAAGTCAGGGTTCGCCAGGCCTCCGTTAGCGTGATGATGTAAATCACCATTTTTTTTTTATTTTTATTACTCCGTGAAGGAGGTCAGGACCTCCGAACGGAGTGTTGTGAAGAGCCGTTTTTTTCGTGTTCGCAGTCAAAACACTGGGTTCTCTTTGTGTAATCGGCGTGCAATTTTATACGCCGTCTGCGGGCATGCCCATGTTGATGCACGAATGTGTATTTTTGCCGTTGCTGCTTTCGCGGTCAACGTAATGTTGCAGATGCACCCCTACAATTATGAGGCGAATTGGAATGGTCCAGAAAAACCCGTTGTTTGGAATAACTTCAGGCAGATATGGTGAGGGGCCGGTGGTACCACGGCAGCAACACTCGCGGTGCTGGCCGCAACTGTTGCTGGAATTTGCCGGTCGCGCTTAATAAGTAACAGGCACGGCAAGACGGTGGGGCTGTCTTTGTTACTAGTGACACGACCATGATAGTCCGATCTTTATATGAATGCAATGATTGTGTGTGTGTAATTAAAATGAACTTCGAACTTGAAGCACAGTATCTTTACACGCCCTGAGAGCAGTAATGGATTTAGGTCTTTTTATGTTTTATGGTTGTGACGCGCCCTCATTGTATTAACCGTTGTCTTATGTCTGCACAGTAGGTCTGGCGTTGACGCTTGGGATTATTTTTGTTGCAAAATATAAAACTTCACGGAGGATTGTCACCTATGGCTTCTTGTTTTTTTTTTAATTATTTAATCTTCCGACACCTGGGTGGCCTACTTCAATTTTGACAAATTGATTTTCAATAGGGCCCAGTACAAAATACAATAAAATCAGAGATACAGGTACAAACAAAGACCGATTTAAACAAATCAAACAAACTATGCGTGTGGCCGATACAAAACAGGGATTCGCCAGGCATCTGTTCGGGTGATTGCAAGTAAATCTCCAACTCCAGTAATATTTGTACCTTCGCACACCGGGACATGCCCCTACTCTTTTTCGCTAGGTGTGATGGGCTTCTTGCGTGGGGTGTGGCTCTCCCTAAACACGGGATTTTCATCTAACGTCCTATCCGAGGGACGTCCCTAACCAAAGCTACGTATAAAGCTGTGTAACGTGCCTAGGTAGGAAATAAAGCTGTGTAAAGTGTAAAGTGAAATCGAACTCAGGACCCATGGGTTCCGGGCTGAATGCCCTATGCCACAACGCCACACGGCGCCACAATGTTATGGCAAATATTATGTTTACAAGAAACTTACCTGGGATGACTTGGCACATAAATGGTCGGCTGCGGTCACATTTGGCATCGTTCCAGTAGTTCTGTCCTTCGTTAGCGAAGTAAATAAATTCGACACAATCTTCATCGTGAGAGTTATCCGGCTGTCCAGGACCCCAGAAGGTGTAGCTCCCGAGAGGAGTGTCGTCTATCCACTCGAAATACCCCTCCAGGCGCTGGTCCTGCAGCCCGATCCAGAAGTGGTGACGATGGCCCGCTCCGATCAGGACGTTGGCCATGGCGTCTCGGGGCATGGCGAGGGTACCGCCGCGGAGACGACAGGTCGCGGCCGCTTCGCCAAAGGCCAAAGGGGAGCGGAACAGCTTGTAGCAGATTCCGTTCCCTTCCCAAAAACCTATGGGACATGATACTGGGCAAGGGACGTTCATAACATTTATTTATTCAATAACATATATTTATTCATCTATCAAATTCACTTATCAACATAAATAAGATTTTTGGACAGCAAGTGTACAAGGTACAAAGTATTGCATTTACTTATATACATATTAAGTGCAATTTCATAAGGCTAACCTACATAAAACAAGTGTGCGGCTAGTATGGGATGTGAATGAGCTTTTACAGTCATTTAAGGGATTAATTGTAAATCTATATGTCGATTGAACTAGCACAGCATTTAATGAAACTTTAATACGGTTTATGCCGTGTTAAAAATGGGATCCAGGTATAGCTTTTTTATCGGGGTCTGCATTTTGTAATGTAGCAGATACCCACCTGTTTGAGAGATTTAGGGTTATATTTTAGATTTTCAATTATTATTTAACATTATCAATTTTTGTGGCTGTAACTGTTATGCACTGCCATACATGTTTTTCTTGTATTGCATGTCTTGTTGGAGTAATAGAAAAAGAATATTGTATAGTCCTAACCTTCGTTGCTCTTGGGCGGTACGACAGGACCAGGCGGCCCAACAGGCCCAGGCGGCCCAGGAGGCCCGGCAGACACAGGGCCAGCCGGTCCTGGAGGTCCAGGAGGCCCGACAGACGTATGGCCAGCGCTAATGGGTCCCATGGAATGTGTTCCTGAAATTAAATGTGTCAAATGTTACTTTGTCTTCGAGAAGCACGAGAAGCTACAGGTGTAATATCAAGACACCCTTCAGAGAAAAAAAAAACAGTTTGCTTATTGGTATATACCAAGACTTAAATGTATATGGATTAGACGCGATGTCAACCTGAGAGCCCAGGGCTTCAGTGTTTGTCAACCACGGCAGTTGCTAAACACTTGTGTAACAGGTTTAGTGCAGTCTACAACATCGATGTTTCGTGCACATGGACATCTTTCTGGAGCTGTTCCTCTTGTACGACCACAAGGCCACGATAATGTACTCCGACTTCTGTATGCCATTATCTATTATTACCGTACGCCTGTTTGTCCCTCCCCCCTTAATTGTTTTTTTGTCCCAATGGAAAAGCCAAATAAAGTTATTAAGAAAGAAATGAAACTCGTGTCAATCGATGAATAGTATCACTGCACGAAACGTTTGATCTAACCGTCAGAGATGTTGGGTATTGTCTCGTTTGTTAACAATATTGGAATTTATTAAGGTAGTGAATAAAAGTCCAGTAGGATAATTTTAGACTTACCTGAATGAAATAACCGACCTTGACTTTTATTTACTACCTTCTTTAGAACGGGACTGTTTTCAAAGTAAAGATTATACGACTCAACTGGCATTTACTGCCATTGATAAATCTAAACTTTCGTGCAGTGTATAAAGTTACTGCTTATACGATCTCTACTCTACTCACGTTCCAGCTCGGTTAGTCGTACTGAAAGCTTGTTCATCCCTTCAGAAAGGATTCCCACGTTAACTGTATTGACAAAAACAACAAAGACGATCTTGCAATGTTACATATATAGATGCTGCACAGTCGAGGTTTAAGACTATCGTTATTGGAAAGCAAAAAAAGCGCGGAATCCCGGCCGCGCGCCACGGCCGCACACCGCCCGCGAGCGAGCAGA